AATTCTAAAATAATATGCATGATTAATTATAATTTTATAATCATGAATAATATAATTAATAAATATTATATCAATAATGTATTTTTATAAAAAAATAAAATAAAATAAAAAATAAAAAAAAAATCCAACGGCTATTTTGCAACGACTATTTATCAATCTATATATATAACACTCCACTTCATGTATTAGTACTCACTCCAAAATATTATAATATATTCTCCTCAATAAAAAAAAATGTTTGATCTATTATTTATAATTACCATTATATCGGTTATTATATACGCTTTAGGAACTTTTACGATGTTGTATCATACTGCTGAGTTTATATTTTATGTATTAGGTTTTTTTCTAATGTGTTTCTTATTAGCCGTTCTGATCGCTTTGAATAATGAATGATTGTATTTGTAATTTTCTTAAATCTAAGCATTAATATTGTATTTTGTGAAGATCGAGTTTGAGGCATTTGACATCACTGAAAAAAAAAAATTACATTTCGTGGACATGTGAATATTTATGGATTGATCCATGTGATATGAAATATGTAGTGCCAGAAGCACATGTAGATATATATATATATATATATATATATATATAATTTATCACATGAGATATATATGATAAAATTACCTCTTATATAAGACTATATATTTTATTGATTTAATTGTTCTAATTTATGAGCATATCTTGTTTGATATGTATCCTATTATTCTTAACATTAGATGTTAATATTTGAAAGTGGTAACATGTATGATGTGTCGAGTAGACATTATCTTCTATATAAAGATTTTTTTCAATGTTGGGGGAAAACTATTATATAAATTATGAAATATCTCTTAATTGTTAATTTCCTGAAGAGTTATAAAATAAAAATGTCCACATATATATTACTATTTTGTTAATGCATCTGAAAATAAATGAAGCGTACATGGATAAATATTAAAATGTGACTTATTTATGTTGTTTGGAATATATATGGTGTAGATATCAAAATATGCAATTACGAAATGAATTTATTTTGCAAATTATAGTTGCATATTTTGTTTCGTTGTTTTATGGACTTATTCCAAATTTATTGAGCCTAAATCAATTTGAATATATTGAACTTTAGTCTAATTGACTAGTGAACTAAATTAATGGTATGCAACTTTTATAGTTATTTTCTAATTATGTCATGAATTACAGAGAAAATATCTTGTTGAATATTATGCCTATAAATTTGAGTTTCCCTGAAGGATTACATAATTAAAAGTATCACTAGTAAATTTGAATACAGAACTAGATTTGATTATCCATGAAGGATTGGTCATATTAATCAGTATCATAATTGCATAAGAATTATTTAGCGAGTATCTTTGAAAGATTAATCTAGTAAATAATCTCGTTGAATTCATTATATTTTGATTTTGGATCAGTTCTGCATATTCAATATACTCTTAATGAAGGCATGTAACAAGAATGTTACAAAAATTGAATCAATATACAAGTCTTTTTTCAAATTATTTATATTTACTTGTATATTTGATAAGATGTATACTATTGAATATATTGTTTATAGCTACAATAATAAATTTATACGTAATGTCCGAAACACATAATATTGTTGATAGCTACAATAAAAGGCTCACAACTAACGTTCGATTATAGTGCCTGAAGCATATGGTGTTCACTTAGAAATAAATTATTATAGTTCGATGCCCAACTTATATATTTGATAATTAGCATGAGCATTGGATAATATTGGGCAATTATTTTTCCCCAAAATGGTGCGTGGAAAATAGAACATTTCTCATCTGCGATTTATTATTATTATGCACAATCTTATGTCACCACCAATTCTTAACTTTATGAGCCTATATTATAAACTAAGTTTGCTATGATTTTTATACTCCGTCGAATTTTTAATACCTAGAGGCCATTATAGGGGATCAATGTATTATTTGGTACGTGTTTTGCATAATATATGAAAACGATTTCACGGCATTAGGGGGAGATATGAGCATAAATGTCGTGAAATATGTGGAATATTAATGTTTTCATTATTTGAAACCACGCAATAAAATTTGAACTTGAAGTTCATATTATATTTCTGCCAAACGAAATTTATAGTAATAATGGAGTGAACAATTTGTATATATAAATGTACCACAAAGTAAACAAATTCTCTAGAGAATGATTGACTCCTTAATGCTAGAAGCATAAGGTGATATAATTAATATATGATGTATGAAAGTCCGCGGAAAATTTATTCAAGAATTAACACTCCTTTATAAGAAACTCCTAAAGAGTTAATCCAGTACATCTTGCACGTGCATCAAACCATTATAGTACTGGAAATGCGGAACAACCAAAATTAAATGTTAAGGGAAATGATTATAAATATGGCTAGGAAATATGAAGTTGTACATATGGTTGAGAGAATAAAAATTAAATATCATAGTTGTCGACAACATAATTGCCTATATAATTTCTTTAATATCTCAAATAATGATCCGGATCAAAATAATGAAAGTGCTAGAAGCGTGTAGGTTGATTGAGATAAAAAGGTAAATAAAGACAGAGCTTCCACTCGCTACACGATATATCCCAGAAGGATAATGAATATTTATATGAAACATGTGATATGGTGGTGTGATGTAATGTAGCGAGATTATGCTCATGGGTTTACGCAGAGACCCAAATTTTTATAAGAAATTCTCTCATTAACAATTATTCCGCAAGTTAATATTTATGGCAGTAACGTTACCATGACTATTGAGTCATATGTGAAAGTCTTGAATGGACTAGAGTACCCGAGATGAAAGATAATTAAATAATAAATCATTTAATTATATAAAATTATTGGTAAAATGTGGTACAACCAACAAAATTCTTCCTGAAGAAGTAAAGTAAGAAATTCAATGTAGAACCTTGTGTATAATGATAATATACAAAATGATCATCTCGGTCAAATAGATTATGTGGTGAACACTATATAAAAGATTAACTCATGCTTATAGACGGAGTTAGAATAAAACTCTTGGTTAAATACCAAAGAATATTATCTCGACTTGTAGATCGAGCATCTACTAGAAGAAGTATATTTGACTCAACCATTCTAAATGAATCTCTTTTTAGAGATGTAAAATTATAACACCAATTAGTGTCAAATATTTAGAATTAGACAAATATTTATAAAGATCCAAAGAAACTAATGAGAATATTATAGGACCTGAAGTTGTAATGGGCTTGAAGTCCACAAACGACTTGAAGTTTATTTATTAAGCGCAATTGTTATAAAATTTTATCTCACAAACTGCATCAGGCCTGATACTACATTTGCGATGAATTTGCTAGCAAAGATTTATTATTTATATTATTAAAGAGATATCGTGATAAACGTTAAAAATATTTATGTTTTCATGTATGTTGAGTTGTCTTTGGACTTGATATATTGGTGGATAAATACATCAAATGTATAATTGATCCCCGAAGTATTGGGTAATCGATTGGTTATATACCCAGAAGGTATGATACGCATGTGATACGATTCTGGATTTAAATATTGAATAAAATATTGTGTGTCAGAATCTTCCCCTAAAATGTGATGTGATAAATGTGTCACAATGAATTATTATAATGATGATGGTTTGCATGATTAACTTATCTTTTGTGATATGAGATGTTTTGTTCTCCATTGGTGTAAAATTATTACTAGCTAAATATTTGTAAATTGATATTTGATCAATCTGAGTATGAAATGGGGTATGATATATATGGGACCACTACTCCTCCATGTGTGTTACTAGATATTATGGATCCACTAGATAACCACATGAGTATGTGATTCGTAACCTAAAGTTACGAGATGTTTTGATCAATGAATATGATATGACACATAACCTGAAGTTTTGAGATGATTATGAAATAATAAAAAAATAATTGTCATATGAAAGTGATAAACCTAGTAATATACTCAACTGATATGATGAATACTTGAAAGAAAAATATGCATATTACAAGTGATATGAGTTCAAAGTTCTCATATTATATATTGAAATCGAGAACGAAACGGAGACTATATGAACTCCCCTCAAGAAATTCAAAATACAAATCAGGGATTTGTTAAGATGAAGGGGAGATTCAATGATTGAAATTTGTAAATGATACATTTATCACACAAGAAGTGTGCAAATAAAATGAATGATACTGATGGTGGTAAAATATATGATATAATATGATGGTGGAATAATACGCTGGAAGCTTTGGTATTAGTATCGTACAAATTATGGAAATATTATTATATAGAATACGCGTTGTACTCTTTTTCCCTTTGATCAAGTTTTTTTCCACTGGATTTTCTTGACAAGGTTTTAACGAGACAGCACGTGGATACTCCACTAAATATGATCTATTTGAGGGGGAGCAATGTTATGCTTCCACAATGCTCAGGTCTTGTCCCGCAGGGTTTTTCTGAGGAGAAATGTTATGATTTCACGATGATCAGGTTTTGTCCCACCGGGTTTTCCTGACATATTGAAGCACCAGTACCTGATGGCCATAAGATACAATTCAAGATATTCAGATTGTGATTTGTCCAAATCAGTTAAAATATGTTTAGAAAATAGTCATTCAAGGGGGAGTGTTATAAAATTAAATGTTAGATATTAGGTGTAACAAATACACCAACTTTTAATATTTTTATATATGTGAATGACTATTTTGCCTTTGATGTAATTGTATTATTACGATTCTGCCATCAGAAGTTTTCCTATAAATAGGAGCTTCAATTATAATGAAAAGATAACCAAGAGAAAACATTCTCTATATTCTCTCTATTTCTCTCTTGTTTTATAACAATATGAACTTAGGTATGGTTTAAATTAAGAGTAAATTACACCACGGACGAGATCAAGTGAATTATATTGTAGATCGTACGAGATCAAGTGAATTATATTGCAATCTTACGATCTATTTAAAGTATTTAGCATATTTAACAAAATTCCGTATTTTATTGCCATAATATGAGAAATAGGTGAGATATAATTTCCTTAATTGTAGGGAGTGCATATTTAATGCTATTTAATATCGAGAGAAAACCAACTCCTCAATATCGAGAGAAAACCTTTCCTCTTCATCCTCCACCGCCATGCCTCCGCCTTCTGCGAACAGGCCCGATCAATCCTGGAGTTCAGAAAAGACATCAAATCCGCCCCTTCCGACCTCGTCTTCTCGTCATGGGTGTCCCTCGCCGACGCCTCCGCCTGTCCTGACGACTTCTGTGTCCTCTGCTACGCCGCCGCCTTCGCCGTCGTTGTCGCTCTAGACGGCTTCGGTCCCACCGGATTCCTGAAATTCAGCAACCTCATCCCGCTCCCAAAGTCGAATGTGTGTATGGTCTGAATCCCTACTCGCAGATCCATCATCTCCACTGACAGAGTTTGTCCAAGGCGCCTTGAGGAGACGAAGGACGATCGGAGAATTTTGTTGATAGGTTTTAGTTGAGAAGATGACCAGACCAGACGGTATATATGTTGTATATATGTAGTATATTTATACTTTTTTGTTGTTTGTGTAGTTGCATGTATATATACTGTATATTTTTTGTATATACAGGGGCGAAACTAGAAAATTAATTGAGAGGGGGCAAAAGACATGACAAAAAATTTAGGGGTGCAAAAAATAATTTAAGAGTGAGGCAATTAAAATTTTTAAGTACAATAGTAAAAAAAAAAATTGAGGGGGGCAATTGCCCCCCTAGATCAACATGTAGTTTCGCCCATGTGTATATATATTGTTTATATTTTTTCGTATGCACACTATTAGAGTGTGTATAGTTTGAATTTTTTGTACGAAAGATTTGAATTGAAAATCATAAGAATCGGCATGAACCTAGGTATATATAGTACATTTTTGGTATATATACTGTTTATATTCTTTATTTTTTCTGTATATCTTGTGTTTTCCACAATCTCGTTGCTTAGAAAATTATCCTAGGTATATATAGTGTATATTTTTCGTATATATACTGTTTATATTCTGCATATTTTTCTGTATATTTACTGCTCGTGATGGAATGACGTTGCTCGTGATTGTTTAGTTCAGATTTTTTTTTTTTTTTAATAATTAAAGAATCCCGTTAGTTACGGGATTCTTGAGATAGTAACTCTTTATTTTTTGTTTGACAGTTATATTGTAGTTATCCAAATAATTATGATACTTGCAAATAAATTTTTATTTTTGTATTTATGCAATTATTTTAAAATTCTTAACGTAGAAGTGCAAATTACCCCATTAATAATGGTTTCCGTATAACTTGTTATATGGACTTAGATATGGTTTCAATTCTGACAGTGATATGCGAGTTATCTACGCATATCTTGGATTTGGTGTGACTTGCACGTTTTATTTTATAGTTATAAAACCCGTGTACGCATATATGAACACTCCTAGTCAATGTTTAAAATACCGTTCCAATTGGTAATACCAAACATCGGTCACTATTTTTTATATAATTACACATAAATATCATATTTAGAAAGTAAACAACCATATATAAGGTCATTTTTTAATAAAATAAAATCAATAATATTTCTAATTACTATATCATTGTTTTCATTCTTAAAATCTATATATAATAAAAATAATCAACAACAACAACAACATAGCCTTTAGTCCTAAACATATAATAAGAATGATAATCTATACTTATATAATAAGGTGTACCATTTACAAAATTTAGTAAGTTGAAAAGTCAATGCAATAAATGCATTACTATTTTGAGCAAAATAATACAGTATCATATCTATACTTATATAAAAGGAAATTCTATTTACTACATTTACTATCCAGAAAAGTCAACTGCATTAAATGTCATTACTATTTTGGTATTATAATATTTTATTTATTTAATTAATTTATTTATTTATTTTATTTTAAAAAGGTAAGTATAATAAAAAGATTTTTATAATAAAAAAATTAAATACCAAATAAAAATGTACACTTTGACTTATTTGATTATATTTGGTATTTGATTATACCAAATATATTCCTTTTTAGCATATACATTAAATACTTATTAAAGTATTTATTTGTTTTATTTGTCAAAGTTAAGTATAGATTTGCTTATATTATCAAATCATAAAAAAATATTAAATCCATATTGTAAATATTATATGGTGAACAACAATAAGTAAAACTGTTACTTTCTCTTATATCAAAGGATAAATTTATATGCTAAAATTAAATTTTTATTAGTATAAATATTTTAGTGAGATAATATATTAATTATTTTACAAGCTAGCCCTAACATGCTCATATTTAATGTTTTAAAAGATGTAGAAAAAAACTTATAATAACTCTATTGTTTTTTAGACTTAAACGTTGATTAAAAGAGGTAAAAATTCCTAATTTTTTAGACTTAAACGTTGATTAACACCATAGATTTATAGTCTATATTTAGTAAAATTCCTAATTGTAAAAAAAATTAATTTTTGCTATATTTTAGAATATCGTTAAATTCATTATAAAAAAAAAAAAACTACAATGAAAAAAGCAAGTCAGCTATATATCGATTTGTTGTACTCCTCAAATCACATTCACAATTTGGCTACAAGGAAAGAAAACTCATTGATTAAAATATTATTTTGTCAGTAGTCTTAATGTACAAGAGACTTTAAGGCTCTACTTGAATATTATAAAACTTTTATTGAACATTGTACAATTTTCTTGCGTATTATAAACTTTTATTGAATATTGCATCTTATAATATAATATTCTCCAAATAAATATATCAATATTCTCCAAATAAATATATCTCGTGCTTCGCACGGATCACATACTATATATATCCAGTACATTTTTCTTTATTTATGTATATAATTATAAGTCTGGATAAATAGCCTTAAAATTGTGCACTTCGTGCATCGCACGGGCTTTGTACTAGTTTATTAAAAATAGTAGTAAAAAAATTTGGGAGCATTTAATGCATATCTTTTTTTAGAAACTTTTTATATATATGCATTAATTGTTTCCATATTCACGTTTTCAAATAAAATCAAATCAGATATGATCAAAAATATTAGTTTCTTAAATAATTTTATTAATATCTGCAATAATTTCATTGATATCTATTATAATAAATTACAAGATTGATTTTCCGTGATTCATGATGATAATATTTTAGTCAACATAAATATTACAACATATTTTAAGTTCTAACTATAATATTATTTTTTTTCACAAATGTTCACTTTTTATCTAACAATATTTATAGAAAATCGTAACAGGTTAGGTAGAATTTTTCCTTCCAACTAATCAAGCGAAAGTCGGTGAGTTAATCATTGCAAATATAATTTTTTCTTAAGATTTATTTCGTTATATATAAAATATAAATTATTATTAAAATTAATATTATTTACCATTTAATATATAATGACCAGACACATAAAATAATTTTACTAATGGTCAAAAATTAAAATTGAAATATATAACTATTCTAGAATTTATTTGTATATTATTGACAACCATGATTATTTATTTTATCATATCTTTATTTTGATTTCTTTCTATAATGAATTTTTTATAAAATATATATTCATTGCAGAGTATGCTAAATAAACTATAAATCGTGATAATGCAAATTAGAAAAATATTGATTGTAGAAGGGATTGAGTTTTTGGCATTTCCTAAATCAAAGTTGTTTAATTAGTATACAAAATTAAATTCTAAAAAAACATGTGTGTATATTTTGTAAAATACTTATACACTATTTAATTTTAAATTTATTTACATATTTTAAATTGATGACATAAATAAATAATACTGACGTGTATTATATATTTTTTATTACATAAAATAAAAAGAAAAAGAAAAACGTACAACTTCTATAATTTTTATGAATAATAATGACATTATATTACAACAAAATTTATATAAAATAATAATTACATATTATATGGTGAATAATAATAAGTAAAACTGTTATTTTCTCTTATATTAAGGAATAAATATATGTACGGAAATCAAATTTATATTAGTATAAATGTGTTAGTGATATAATATATTAATTATTTTACAAGCTAGCCCTAACATGTTTGTATTAAATGTTATGGCTAAAAGAACAACGCTGATTGAAAAAGTGAGAAATATATTATAACCCTACTGTTTTTTAGACTTAAGGCTGATTAAAAGAGATGGAAAATAGATGACAACTCTATTGTTTTTTAGACTTAAATGGACAGAGTCTATGAAAATAACTCATTTAATATCTCTGTCTCGTGCATCAAATAGGGTACTTACTAGTAAGGAAAAAATGGAAAGGATGGTAGATATTCTAAGACGCACTATTCAATAAATAATTTTTATAATAGGTACTTTGATCATTTGACATTGGTTTTGAAAATAAATCTATATATATATAATAAGAATTAACATATATCACTTTTAGTAATTTTTTTCCGCCACTTTTATTAATTACATGGTAAATATAGAATTTTTGAATAATTTGGGCTAAAAAATAGCTAACCATTAATTGTGAACCGATATGGAATCAAATGGTTTAATTGATTGGGGATGCAAATCCCACTTTTTATGGAAATGGAATCAATTGCCGTATGCTCTGCTATTGTTTGGGAATGCAAATCCCATTTTTTATAGAAATATAACTATTTTAATAATATTAAACTATAATTCTACCGAAAATATAAACTCCACTAATAAATATTCTTATTTAACTACAATAATATTTACAACATCTCGTTTATATCTATATATATAATAAGAATAATTATTTACTAAAATTAGTAGTAAAAAATTTTGGAAACATTTAATGTATATATCCTTTTGAAAACTTTTTAAATATATGAATTAATTACTTCTATATGCATTTTTTCAAATAAGATCAAATCAGATATAATAAAAAATATTGGGTCTTAAAAAATTTTATTAACATCTGCAATAATTACATTGATATTCATTTTAATAAATTACAAGATTGATTTTTCGTTATTCATGTTGATAATATTTTGGTCAATATAAATATTACAACATTTTTTTTTTAAATTCTAACCATAATATTTTTTTTTTCACAAATATTCACTTTTTATCCAAAAAAATATTTATAGAAAATCATAACAGGTTAGGTAGATTTTTTTCTTCTAATTAATCAGGCGAAATCAAGTTTGTGAATTAATCTTTGTCAATATTTTGTTTCTTAAGTTTTATTTCATTATATAAAAAAAAATAAATTATCCTTCAATTAATATAATAATATATATTTTCATTGTAGAGTATGCTAAATAAACTATAAATCCTTATAATGCAGATTAGAAAAATCTTGATTACAGAAGGGATTGAGATTTTGGCATTTTCTAAATTAAAGTTGTTTAATTAGTATACAAAATTAAATTCTAAAAAAACATGTGTGTATATTTTGTAAAATATTTGAACACTATATTTAATTTTAGATTTATTTACATATTTTAAATTGATTATATAAATAAATAATAATAATGTGCCTTGAATATTTTCATTATATCAAATAATATGAAAAAGAAGAATTACAACTTCTATAACTTTTATAAATAAAAATGACATTATGTGACAACAAAGTTTATAGTAAAATAATAATTAAGTATTATATGAAAAAAAATAATAATCAAAATTGTTATTTTTTATCTTAGAATAAATATATATACTAAAATCAAATTTATATTAGTATAAATGTATTAGTGAGATAATATATTAATTATTTTATAAGTTAGCACTAACATGCTCATATTTAATGTTCTGGCTAAAAAACACGCTGATTAAAAGAGGTGAAAATACATTATATCCATATTATTTTTTAGACTTAACGCTAATTAAAAGAGGTGAAAAATATATGATAATTCTTTTTAGACTTAAACAGACAAAGTATGTGAAATAACTAATTTAATATCTTTGTCCCGTGCATCGCACGGGGTACGTACTAGTTATTGTTCAAGAGCTAGTCACAATTTATTTTCTAAGCACAAATTACAGCGTTTTTTTATTGAGCTATTCGTGAATTCATCTAAATTCAACACGAATTATTTATAAATCTCAAACAATAAATAAGTTATTTGGGAACATTGGTCATTCACGAACAAGTTTGACTGGATTGTTTAATTGAAGATTCACATTATAAATTTTTTTTCGCTAACTAGCTAGTTCAGTTCGTCTCGTTCAAGTCAATTAATTTATCGAACCCAACTAACTTTAATAAACAGAACTACAAAAAGCAAGCTCGATCTTTTACATGGTCAACCAAGCTACGCTTACGAAATCCATGAACTCGGTCATACACTGAATATTCTATTGGAACAACCGGACAATCAAATTATATAAAATTATATCATAAATAATTTATATATTTTATATCATAGCTCTATTAAACAATAAGTGAAAAATAAAAGTAAACAAAGAAAAGGAATAAGATGAAAAACAACATGTTACGCTACAAAGAAGATATTTAACTTATTAAATATATAATTTATAAATTTACAAGATAAATTTAAATTACTTTGGACCAAAATAAATGTAATATGGGTTGTAGACACAATATCTCTATCTAAAGATATTTAACTTATATATTATATTATTTATTCAATTTTTCTATCTTTCTCAACCAACTATCATCTTGTGCATATCAATTATAACTAACATTAATTACAGGGAACACAATTTCTTAATTTCCTTCCTACATCCTATACATCTATGGGCATTGTGCTTTTGGAGATAATCTTAGAGGGTGCTTGAATAGAGATTTAATTGAGTTTTGATTGAATTTTTTTGTTAACCAGAGTTTATTTTGAAAAAAATTGTTGTGTCAGATTTGAGTGAGATGTTAATTTTGTCTTAAAATAATAGTTAAAATAAAATAATTAAAGTTCATTTTATCTAAATGTAGGAGAGATGTGATTGAAAGTGATGAATAGTTAAAATTATGTGAGTGAATGAATAATAAATTAAAGTTGGTATGATGTCTGATGATGATGATTGATATTAGTTTATTATTTTTGACATTATTGAGGTGAGTGAAGATGGGTTAAATTTGAATTAAATTTTAAGTTGAAAATTTTTTTTTTGGTTAAAACGTGATTAAATATTTAGATACAAACTAGTACATCGGGAAAGTTATACTAAAGTTAAATGTTGGACTAAACAAACTTATTAAGGTTATATTTTAAAGTTAAATGTTGGACTAAACAATAATAATAAGTTATTTTTAAAAATTAAATGTTGAACTAAACGAACATATATTAAACAGTTGAATAAACCTAATACCGATTTTAAGGTGATTTTGCACGTATCCTTTCAAGGTATACGCACAAAATATTGGTATGATATTTTTTGAGATCACACACAAATTTAAAATTATTCTCTGATTTAAATTTCTTATTCATTTATCCATTTATTAACTGTCTTAAATATTAAAAATATCATTTAATTTATCAATTAGGTCAAATTAATGTAAAACATATATTAATGACATTTTATGATTCAATTTTTCTAATCACCTCTTAAGAATACTAAATTCATATAAATTTCAAATGTTAATGTATCTCAAAAAAGCGAGTGATTGTCTGCATTAAGTTTATAAATTTGTTAGATAATAGATTAATAAATATTGTACATTTTTTGGAAAATATTTCGAAAAACATATCTTACTCTTCTTTGTCTCAGTTTTCACTTAAAAATTTGTGTACATAGATTATGTAATATTACATAAGGCTAAGAGATTGTATAGATTAATAAAAATCAAAACTTGTGAATGTTGAACATAAAGATATGACACACATACATAGAAGGAACAAATTTGTTACGTCACTCTTGGTCACGAACGGAGTGAACACTTTCCACCTTGCATGATCCTCCTTCTTGAGCTTCTGATAACCTACAACATGTCGAAAGGGGGTTCGGGCAGGAAACTCTCCGACGCTCAAGTCAGAACTCGCTCAACTGTGAATGTACATAATATAAAGAATAATGTGTAGATTGTGTGTTGTTCAATCAGAGAGAGAACCTGTCGTCCTTATATAGGACTAAAATACCTTGGGATCGAAGAGAGTTCTTGTCAGGAAAGTAATCCACACGGATTCTACTTCCCTAACTACTACACGTCTATCATGGTAAGAATCCTTGAGCGAGTGATTCTTTCTTTCTTACATGGATTCTTTCCCCCTTTGACTGTTTTAACCCGTGGATCATTAAGTCGCGAATCTGACATCCTGTCTTGTCTGTGATGGTCTTTCCGAGGGCATACCTGACCTTGTCTTGAGATATGATTCGACCTCGACTTTAGGTCTAACCTGTCCATAGACCACCCGACTTCAATATATACCGAGGTCGGTTACTTTGCCGGTCTCCTGGAAGCCGATACCTCCATGTCAGATTTGTTCTAGGAGCTCGACACCTTAAGCCCTCATCCGAGCTACTTAGCCGAGCATCCTATCTTTGAATCGCCGGGAGTTCTTTTATCCCGACCTTAACCGAGCTGAGTTCTCAGTCCAATGTGGCGATCTATTTCTGAGTGCTACATCAAAATTAAAAATTATCAAATAGCAATTTTTCAGTTAAAAAAAAAAAAAATTGGTCTACATGTAATATGAACAACTCAATAATTACCCTTATATATTACAGGTTTCCCAAAAAAGAAATAAATAAATAAATAAATAAACTTGTTGTGATTTATTTTTTAAAAAAATGACATACAAATTTACGTATATGGTATACATTATATTTATTAAATACATTTCTAAATAGATACTCACAGATGTGCTACAAATTTTAGTTTACCGAATTTTAAATTTGAAATTATTATCAGATTTTGAATTTAATTACTTTTTAAATTTATTTATCAGATTTTAAAGGTTGAAAAATTAAAAATATTTTGGAATTACTATATTTAGTAAAATAAAAATTTTAGGCTAAGTTTTTTCTCACTATTTAAGGTAAATCTTTAGTCACTTTTTATATTAATAGATATAGATATAAATGGATAGGTGCATTCGTCTCTGTTTTAATAATACAAAAATCAAAGCATAATACTTTCAGTATGGTATGTAAATTGTGCGACTCAATGAAATAAATTAATTTATTAAAGAAATGTTCAGTCCATTATTTAGCTATAATGGTTTTACTATATTTGTCCAAACAATGTGTAATTTAAATTTTAATGGTTCAAGCTTTATACTTTTTAAGAAATAAATAAATTAATAGTTTTATTAATTGATGAACGTAATTATATAATTTAAATAAACATAGTCAAGTTTTTCAAAACTTGATAAAAATTTCAGTTAATGGATAAACACAAATATATGATAAATAATTTTCAACATATTAAGAAGGTGAAAGTGGAAAAAAGGGGAAAAAAAGTTTAAAAAAAAATAGTAAGATAATATAAACATTACAAAATCATAAAAAGAATTTAAGGAGTATCATAAAAGTGAAGACTCACAACTTACCTATTTGAAAATTTGTAATTAAAGATATTGAAATCAAATTTGAAGCACTATCTGAAAAATGAAATAATATTTTTTTTATAAAAAATGATATTGAATCAAGTTTAAAACATTATCCACAATAATAGAAAAAAATCTATGTTCACAAAAGATCTGAATGGAATAAAAAAAAAAATAGTTACTTTGACTAATTTTTAACTAACCCCTGTAAAGAAGGAAATAAAATGTACTTGTTTTCATTTAAAATTTCAAAATTTAATATTTTCAAAATTTCTAAATGTAGTAAACTTGAAATGTTTAGGTGGAATTTTATCTAATATTTAAGGTAAATAATTGGCGTTATCTATCTATTATTATATAACTAGTACAGTACCCGTGCAATGCACGGGGTTTATGTTTGAGCAAATTTAATTTAAAAAATCATATCAAAAACTANTATTTATTTCCACAATTTTTTTTTTGTTTTGTTCTTGTCCACTTCATTTTTTCTTATTTTTTTTAAGTAAAAAAACCTATTTGGCACCCCTAATTTTAGGTCATTTTCTGTTTTAATGTAATTAAACACGCTATGGAATAAAGAATGTAGCATCTATTTTCTAGAAGTTGCTATGCGGTCTTTAGACATTCAACGTGCTTAGACGGGGCCTAGAAATAAAGCTACATCAACTTATAATAAATTTACACGTCTAATTCCAAATAATAATATTAATATATTATAAAGAAAACATGATAACAGAATAATTTAATTAATTTTTAAAAAAATAAAAAAATAAAATTGAAAAACTATCGCCCAGCACGCCTAGGCCCGTCGAGCCTGCCTAGGCGCTGTCTGACCGATTTTTTCAATCAATTCATACAAATCGAAGACGACCGGTCAGTGTTAGGCCGATTTTTTATAACATTGATTAGAAGTGACATTTCCAACAATGCAATGAAATTGGACTTCATAGTAACATCTATATAAGGGCACGAGCAGATCACTCTCACTAGCCAAATGGTTTTTTTCCTTGTCCGTCTCTCTCTCTCTCTCCTTTACATAATTAAATATTGAAGAGAGATGGCTTTGAAGCTAAACTTTCGATCACCGAAATGCCCTTCTTTTGCTCTGACCAGCCGAAGGTCAACCAAGTTCATGATGACTTCAACTCTTGGCTCCGGATCAAAGTAATTTGGTTTTCTTCTTCAATATCTTCTTTTTGCCATGTAGTTCACAAATCAAATTTCAATTTGTTTCTTTATCACTGTAAATGAACCAACGTTAGCTTTAATTTACTGTCTTTCTTCTACTTTCTGATCTGGGTTCTTTACTTCCTCATATCTGGTTTTTTTGTTTGAGTTTTTGGATTTGTATCAAATGCCAGTGATTTTGAAGTAACGAAAAGGGCAAAAATTTAATTTTGGTCCGCTAACTTGTCCATTTTTCACTTTTGGTACACTATCTTTCCCCTCATAAAAAATGGTCCGTTATGTTACATTTTTCATCAGTTTTAGTACGCTACTCCAGTTGGCGGGATTACAAGATGACGTGGACCGGGATTGAAACTACGTGGAGGGATAAGATATTGACGTGGTAGGATAAAAACCTGATTTGACATCTCGTAATCCCGAGCCACGAAATTAACTAAAACTGATGAAAAGTGTAACATAACGGACCATTTTGATGAGGGGAAAGATAGTGTATCAAAAGTGAAAATGGACAAATTAGCGGATCAAAAATGGATTTTTGCCTAACGAAAAGTATAGATTTTGGGGAGAACAACTGAAAAAATGAAGACCAAGTATGACATGACATGCACCTAACTAAGGGACTTTTCATATTTTGTTTCTTTTTCATTGTAAGTTTAGATTTACTATTTATTTATTTATTTATTTATTTATTTATTTTTTTTTTTGCGAATTGTCACTACAAGAAAATGGTAAAATTCCAACGAAAATATATTTCAATAAAATTCCACCGAGAATTCCAACGGATATTTTAATGCTATTATTTCCGTTGGAATTATTCCAACGGAAATTCCAACAAAAATATTCCGTTGGAATGAGTTTTCCATTGGAATTTCCGTTGGATTTTGACGATTCCAATGGTAGATTTTTCAACGGGGGTAAAAATAAAAATTTCAAAGGAAATTGCATATTCCAACGGAAATTCCTACAGTAAAAAACCGTTGGAAATATAGCCGTTGGAATCATCAAATTCCATCTAAAATTCCAATGAAAAACACATTCCACCGGAATATTTTCATTGGAATTTCCATTGGAATGATTCCAACGGAAGCTATACCATTGGAATATCCGTTGGAATTTCCATTGGAATATATTACCGTAGGATTTTCCATTAGAATATAACAATTTTTTGTAGTGTGTTAAATACCGTCCCTCTTTTTACTACCTACCGCCCCCTTGGACATTTTTGCCCCTGTCATTATTTTAGTCTTTAAAAGAAAAGAAAAATATATGATGGTCGGCCGAAACGGCCGAGAGTGGCCTCAATCGCCGGCCGGTCGTGTTTTTTTTTTTATCAANGTCAGAGGCAAAATGGTCCAAGGTAAACAGTAGGTAGTAAAAATGGAGGCGATATTTAGTACACCCAAATTTTTTGAGGAGATTTAGAGGAAGACAGTAGCCATATTAGTTTTTGTGTTGCTTATGTCTGAGAAATTAACTAATGCAGTCTAAATAATCGTAGCAAACTCAATGGGAAAGTTCAATGAACATTCTAGATTGTTCCTAGACCAACTATAGATACATGTACTGTGGTATGAAAATGACAATGAGTCAGCAAGAGCAACATAATAGAGACACCAATAACAAGAACGGGTATAAAAGCAAAAGCGTACTACATTCTCATGTTTGCTGCATCTACTATGAGCTAGGAGTTGGATTATAAATCTTCCATTGTTAATTTTCAACCTTAGTCTAATACACTACCCTTGATAATTTTCTTTTATGTAAAGTGTAAACATCCAACCATTTTTTAGGAAGTTGGAGACTCCACCACACAAGTTCCACGTGAAGATCACGCACTCGATGCCCCCTCACAAGATCGAGATCTTCAAATCCCTCGAAAATTGGGCCGAAAAAAATGTACTCGTCCACCTCAAGCCGGTGGAGAAATGCTGGCAGCCGCAGGACTTTCTCCCGGACCCCACTTCTGAAAGTTTTCATGATGAGGTAAGGGAATTAAGAGAGAGAGCGAAGGAGATACCTGACGATTACTTTGTTGTGTTGGTTGGGGACATGATAACCGAGGAAGCCCTCCCGAGCTACCAGACGATGCTCAACTCTTGGGATGGAGTGAGGGACGAGACAGGCGCCAGCCGAGCATCGTGGGCCATATGGAACAGGGCTTGGACAGCCGAGGAGAATAGGCACGGTGACCTTCTCAATAAGTATCTATACCTATGTGGCCGTGTCGACATGAGGCAAATCGAAAAGACTATTCAGTATCTTATTGGATCCGGAACGGTAAGTGTTGCTCGAGTCTGTAGTTTACCACAAACTATATTTAAGAGAGTATTCATTTGAGATTTCTAAATACTTTGGGGTTGGGGGTACTCATTTTGGAATTTAAAAAGACATACAAAATCCTGATGTATTTAAGTTATTCGAGACTATAATTTGTTAAGACCTGTTAAGATTTTCTGTGATTTCTAAAGAAAAATACGAAATCGCACTCAAAATTCCACCTCCATACTGTAATTTGTTAAGACCTGTTAAGATTCACATGTTCCTCCAGAATCTGAAAATCTTTAAAAACTCTCAAATCTCAAAATGTCTCAAAATATCACTCAAAATCCCAAACCAATACAATATTTTCTAATCATTTTCGAAAAACTCCAAGGATGTGGGCATGGAAAACAACCCATATCTCGGCTTCATCTACACGTCGTTCCAAGAGCGCGCCACCTTCATCTCCCATGGCAACACGGCCCGTCTTGCCCGGGCCCACGGAGACCTTCATCTGGCCCACATATGCGGCACCATTGCCTCGGACGAGAAGCGACATGAAGCTGCCTACACCAAGGTTGTCGAGAAGCTTTTTGAGGTCGACCCAGACGCTACTGTTTTGGCCTTTGCCGACATGATGAGGAAAAAAATCGTGATGCCAGCTCACCTCATGCACGATGGCCGAGATGAAAAGCTGTTTGACCACTACTCGGCTGTGGCCCAGCGGCTCGGTGTCTACACAGCAAGAGACTATGCCGACATTCTCGAGCATTTGGTCGGGAGATGGAAGGTCGGGAGCTTGACTGGTTTGTCCGGGAAAGGGAGGATTGCGCAGGATTACGTTTGTGGTTTGGGGGGAAGGATTAGGAGGCTGGAAGAGTGGGCTCAAGTGAAGGCTACGAAAGGGCCGAGGGTTCGCTTTAGCTGGATTTATGATCGAGAGGTGCAGCTTTGAGCTTTTGATAAACTGTGAACACAATGATATCATATAATTCAAAAGTAGGAAATAAAATTCATGTCAATCACCTAATCACGGTTTAGTGTCACCCGTACGAGTGTGTACATGTATGTGTGTCCAAATATATACCGAGTATTCTGCAGGTTTGTATGTGATTTATTTGGCGATTGTAAGGTATGTAAGTTTGGGTAAACATGTACTGCATGACTGTGTTACTGATGTACTGCATGACTGTGATACTGAATTTTGTTGTTGTAATAGCCCTAATGACAAGATAAGAACCTGGTCAGCTATATCAAATACTTTCTAGTGGTAGATAGAAGAATGCCAGGAAGCATGAATCAATAGAAATTGATAAATGAGATAACTAAAAAAAGAAAAGAAATAAGCGTATGAATAGACTTTCCCTGCTATAGATTAGATTCTTAGTTAAGTATGAACAAGAACCAATTAGCTAAAGCACTCTGCATGTTTCATGGTGTGATTAATTCAGTACAACACAAAGAAAACTTGATGGAGAGAATAGAGAAAGAAAGGTACAATTTTCTTGGAATCAGCTCTTTGTGAATGATCTATCGCCTTGGAGTCTGAATGAGATGAGATTCACGCCTCGGGTTTCATCTTCTCACATTCTTGGCTTATGGACTCAAAAAGAACTGTTGACAAGTATCTTTCCCCGAAACTAGGAAAGAGAGTCTGTAAGAAAAGGAGGCAGCAAAATGTTGTTTTGAGAAAAAGCAAGCTATGGGATCAAAGTACAGGTTGCATACAATTATTTTCCCTAAATATAATCTTTTGCTAAATGTCGCACTGAATGGAGAAACCACACAATAAGTCTGATTGATCACAGAATTTACAACCTTGTATAAATGAACTAGTACGTACCCCGTGCGATGTACGGGACAGAGATATTAAATGAATTATTTTCACAGCCTTGTCCGTTTAAGTCTAAAAAATAATAGAGTTATTATCTATTTTCTACGTCTTTTAATCAACGTTAAGTCTAAAAAACAATAGGGTTATTATAAGTTTTTTTTCCACATCTTTTAAACACGTTTTTTTAGCCAGAACATTAAATATTTTAATATGAGCATGTTAGGGCTAGCTTGTAAAATAATAAATATATTATCTCATTAAAACATTTATACTAATAAAAATTTAATTTTAGCATATAAATTTATCCCATGATAGAAGATAAAGTAACAGTTGTATTTATTGTTGTTCACCATATAATATTTAATTATTATTTTATTATATAATAAAAAGAAATACTGTTAAATAGTGTAGTAGAATTGTTATAAAATTATATGAATTATTTTTTTTACAATATGGATTTAATATCTTTTTATGATTTGATAATATAACTATAATATATTTTTAATGATATAATAATATGAGATACGAATTTACATAATACTATGGATTTATTCTTTAATGTTAAGATATTGAATTAGTAATATATGATTCACTAATTTGTATTTTGTCCCTTTTTATATTGAAAATAATCATGTGATTGACTAGAGATAACAATTATCTATAAATTCTGGAATAATTTTTAAATTGGTCCAAGTGTTGAATGCAGCCCGATTTTCTTGTAACTAAAATGAGAAGAGATTTTGAATTTCAAATTTTCACTTCAAAACCACAACCACTTGTAATTTTGGATGCAGATTTTATTAAAAATAAAATGAGAAGAGATTTTGAATTTCATATTCACTTCAATATCTGTCGAAATTTTCAAAAATGAATTCAACAAAACCCATAATTTTAGGGGCATTTAATGCTACCATGCTTTATGATTTAAAATATCTAAAACTTTCTAAATATGGTGTGTAATTAATTATGAGTTGATTTTTCTTCCTACTAATTCTAGTAAATGAGATGGCTTTTTATATAAGTATAGATAGATTGGGTAAATGAAAGCCTTTTCAGTTAAGGTGAATGTGTGTCCAAATGCAACACAATTAATTTGATAAATGTGATTTGTCTTGTAAAAAAATCTACATACCACTATAAGTTTTCCAGCATTTTCTGGTCTCTGTCCAACTTTAATAGCTGCTGCTGCTGCTGCTCCAGAAGAAATACCCGCCTGGTAAGGGCCAAGAGTTGGAACAAAACAATTGTTTAAGAGGTTCTAATAAAAATGAGCCCATAAATTTAATATTCGTGGCAGTTGAAAGGAAGAAAATATTGCTTGATTTGACTAAGTCTGCATCTAATCCAACGATAAGTGTATGAAACAGTAAAGAAAGATAAATATCCAAAAAAGTGCAAACACGGTCAGTGTTGATTGACGGATTTAGAACATCAATATGATCCCAGAAAGGTTAAAATAGCCACTTCAATAATCTCTGGTTCCTTCTTAATAGCTTTGATAATAGACTATTTTAAATACAGTATATGATATGTTAACATCTTTGTAGTATTAACTACAGATAAGCACAATATAATGCAAAATCTTATACACCTGATGATAATAAAACTAAAGAAGATATAAAAGTTATGCTGCCATACTAACCAGTATTCCCTCCTGAAGGGCCAATTGCTTGGCAATATCTATAGCTTCTTCACTTGATATCTAGCAATGACAGAGGAAAACAAGAATTACATGGTTAAACTCGAATCAATACAAAGCACAAATTCGATATGCTACTTACTATTCAGAAATACGAAATGTCGGAAAAGTCAAAAAAACTGTGTATTTTAGATCAACTTATAAACTCAAAGAGTAATTTTTCTAGGTTGGTCCAGACCTCTACTACTTCATCCATCACATCTCGATCTAAAGTGTTTGGGACAAAACCTGCTCCAATACCTTGAATTTTGTGAGGACCTGCCAATACAGAAAGCCAGATAAAAAATAAAATTAATTAACCTTGTAAAATCAAATAGCTGCATTGTCTTGTCTATACAGTCATCTAACCAGGTTTTCCACCAGAGAGGATGTTGCTTTCTGTGGGTTCCACACCAATTACCTAATTAATACAACAGACTGTAACTATCAAGAAGAAACACAATGATGATGAGAGCTAATCTCAAAGAGAAAATTGACTACCTTCACGTTGTGGTTATACTGTTTGAGATATCGACCAACTCCAGAAATGGTGCCACCTGTGCCAATTCCGGCAACAAAAATGTCTACTTTCCCATTTGTAGCTTCCCAGATCTCTGGGCCAGTAGTTTCATAGTGAGTCTGCCAAAATAATTAATTAAATAAAATGTGAGCAAACATTGATTTAATGCAAATCAAGATCCACCATCAGATAGACTACAATAAATAACATCCTCAAAAAGTGCTGCATAAAATCAGATTGTGTAACTTTATGAACATCAAATTTCTGGACATTTCCCTTGATAAGCAATTAGTCAACACTAGTTGCCACTAGAAGTTCAGCATGAGAAAGAAGAAAGCATGATTCTTTCAAATGATTGGACTCAGGTAAATAAAAGCATGTAAAAAGGGTGCAAGCAACAACCTGAGGGTTCACAGGGTTGTCGAATTGTCTGAGCATAAAAGCGTGAGGGGTTCTTTTCGTTATTTCTTCAGCTTTATGAATACATTCTATTGCGCCTTTCCTTGCATCAGTTAAAACAAGTTCAGCTCCAAAAGCTTTCAAGAGAATCCGTCTCTCAAGACTCATGCTATCAGGCATCACCAACACTATCTTGTATCCTTTGGAGGCAGCTATAAATGCAAGACCAATTCCCGTATTTCCACTAGTAGATTCAATCAAAGTAGTCTAGTACGCAGCCAAAATTCACTAATGAGAATAAAGTAATACAACACTATATTCCAAATGTCAAAAAAAAGAGAGAGAGAGAGAGAGAGAGAGAGAGAGAGAGAGAGAGAGGAATAAGTCAAGAAGTTAATAACACAAGAATTCTATATAAAGGCAAACCCTTGACCTCCAGTGCATTTGAATTCAGCCTCAAAGTGAGGAATTTTGAAATTTTGACCAATATACACCATCCACTCATTTGCATTTCACGAACAATCGTTTCATCTCATATTAAAATAAAAACAGCCAATAATCAATCATTAATACATAATTTTTCAATAAACTTCACTACTTACTCAGATATCTCAGCTACCACTCTTTCCAATCACTCTTTTACTATTTCTACATAAAAATCAACTTTAATTATTGCATTTCATTCCATATCCAACCACGAACTCAAAATTTCTCATTCTTCACAAAATTCCACTTTGTTGTCTAATCAGAGCAAATTTTACTAGTGCATCAAGTTCCATCCTCAGGTTGGGACTGGATATTTCAGTTGAAACTTTAACTTAGAGAATATTGATGAGTTTACCTTCTTTTAAGAGGAATGAAAAATTTAGAGATTATAAATGGATATGGGATGAACGTATAAAGGTTAAAGATGATTTCGTATAAGAGTAAAAAATAATTATTAGTGATTGGATGATGGCCTTCTTTAAGAACGAAAAGAATGATTGGTGGGAGATTGTNGAAACATAGAATATTTTTTTACCGAACTTAGTAAAAAACTAAAATCAGAAAAATTTCATATACATATCGTTTCGTAACAGATTCTTAAGAAAATATAATTTTTTTTAACAAAGAATAACGATTTAAGGTTCATCATCTTACTTTCTCAGGAGATATAAGCCCCTTTTGCTCGGCATCAGCTATCATACTATATCCTATCCTGCAAGCAGAAAAAACTAGTGTGAAAACATAGCACAACCAAAATGAATTATACACAGCAAAGTTTCTTATCAGTTATAACTACGGGAGTCAAGAAGAAACAAACTAACGTTAGTTTGCTCATTTACGAACTATATATCTCATACCAATATAAAGATTTGAATGCGAGCCAAAATTGTCTCTAACCTATCCTTGACACTGCAACATGGCTCCATAATCTCGAGCTTGGCAGCTATATTTGCAACACAACCTTTGACAACCTTATTCAAGTAAACCATGGGTGTCTTCCCAATCAGCTGTAAAGTGAAGAAAATGTATGAATATATATAATAAACACACAAAAACATGCAGACAACAGTAAAAAAAATTATGTACCACAAAAGTGATACATGGTAGTAAATAATAATGTGATAATGTAATTCTAATTACAGAAAAATATCAAGTTTTCATTTGTGTTTCCACAACTAATATAAAATATTAGAACAATAACCGTTGAATTCAAGAAATTATCACCATACCCATCACAGAATAGGACGGTAGTTGATAAATTTGATATTTGAGGACTACGCTTGATTTATAAACATAAGAAGCTCAAAAGAAGAAACAACTACTAAATTCTCAGTTTGTCAAGGTTGTTAGGGACACAACAAGCTCCTCCATCTCTATGTTTATAACATATAGGCCTTCTTTCAAATTAAATGCCAAAATCTCTCCTTTTTCCACCACAGTATTTCAGTCAACTTCATTTCAATCTTGATTCTAACAAGGGAATGTGATAAACATTTTCATAACTAAGAAATCAGGGAAAATTGCACAAAGAACTAAACTTTAAACTCAGCATCTCCTCTGATGAAGGTAATTCAACTTGAGATACGATATCAAGTTCTTCAATAGGTTTTTTTTTTCTTTTTTTTTTTGTCTACTTGACCATAAATTATCACATGGAAATAAGTTATTGGCTATTGGAGATCAATTAGTTAAAAAGAACATAGAGGATGAGAGTGAGAGATAGAGAATGCTAATCTCACCTGGCATACATCTTCAGCAATGTTGAGCCCTTCCGCCATTGCCATAAAAATGCACCTCTTCTCCTAAGCGGCTAAGCCCAGTGTGTGTACTGCGTGAAGATTTTCTGCGGATAGCTAAATATTAATTAATCTGTGTGGTGGTCGTCTCTGTTATTTTAGCTGACACCTCCACTGTGGGTCATCCTTATCCGAGCCAAGTGCAGAGTAAAACATTTGAAATTCCGTTTGTGTGGACATATAACTCACTTTATATTTTTACACTCGTATTTTATAATAAATATAGCAAGGATGAGATTAAGAATGAGTAAAAGAATGATCATTTTATTCTTATGTCATTCTCTCATATCAATCATGTCATTAAAATAAGAGTTAAGGGTTGTTTCTTGAAAAAATTGAACTGCAAAAAATATCCAATATATAACCAATTTCTAAGGTTACTAATGTAATTTTATCATTAATATTAAGGAGCTATAAATTATAATTATTAATGGGTAATTTGCACTTCTACGTTAAGGATTTTAAATAATTGCATAAATACAAATATAAAAACTTATTTGCAAGTATGCCTAGGTTAACATAATTATTTGGATAACTACAATATAACTGCCAAACAAAAAAGAAAGAGTTACGATCCCAAGAATCCCGTAACTAACGGGATTCTTTCATTAATTAAAAAAAAGAAAAAAAATCTGAATTAAACAATCACGAGCAACGTCATCCTATCACGAGCAGTAAATATACAGAAAAATATACAGAATATAAACAGTATATATACGAAAAATATACACTATATAAACCTAGGATCATTTTCTAAGCAACGAGATGGTGGAAAACACAATATATACAGAAAAAATAAAGAATATAAACAGTATATATACGAAAAATGTATTATATATACTTAGCTTCATGCCGATCATTATGATTTTCAATTCAAATCTTCGTACAAAAAATTCAAACTACACACTCTAATAGTGTGCATACGAAAAAAAAAAAAGTATAAATATACTATATATATACAATATAGATAGCGTCTGGTCTGGTCATCTTCTCAACTAAAACCTAACAACAAAATTCCCCGATCGTCCTTCGTCTCCTCAAGGCGCCTTGGACAAACTCTATCAGTGGAGATAAAAGGATATGCGAGTAGGGATTCAGACCATACACATGTTCGACTTTGGGAGCGGGATGAGGTTGTTGAATTTAGGAATCTGGTGGGACCGAAACCGTCTAGAGCAACGACGACGGCGAAGGCGGCGACGTAGCAGAGGACACAAAAGTCGTCAGGGCAAGCGGAGGCGTCGGCGAGGGACACCCATGAGGAGAAGACGAGGTCGGAAGGGGCGGATTTGATGCCTTTTCTGAACTCCAGGATTGATCGGGCCTGTTCGCAGAAGGCAGAGGCATGGCGGTGGAGGATGAAGAGGAAAGGTTTTCTCTCAATATTAAAGTAGTCGGTTTTCTCTCGATATTAAATAGCATTAAATCTGCACTCCCTACAATTAAGGAAATTATATATCACCTGTTTCTCGTATTATGGCAAATGAGATATGGAATTTTGTTAAATATGCTAGATACTTTAAATAGATCGTAAGATTGCAACATAATTCACTTGATCTCGTCTAATTCAAACATTATTAATTATTACATTCATGTTTCAGCAAATATTATTCATTCTTCTATTTTTATATTCTTTCTTTTATATTTGATCTTGTTCAACTTTTATTATATACTATGTATTCAATAATATGATATTGAGACATTAAAATTATTGAAGCATATATAGAAATATAAAACAAATAAATGTGATTGATACATGGTTAATTTTTATTTTTAGAGAGTTTATTATGAGGCTATGTTGCCTAAGTTTATTATGAATGATTGTTGTCTTTTATGAATGAACGTAGAGAGAGCATTTCTAGAGATTAAGGGAGATTTGTCTTCTCCCGGATTCTCTTACTCCTACTCTTCCGCCTGTTATCTCACTTGCCCTTCATAAATGAAACCTAGGACTATTAAAGATTGTAAAATATTCTCCCAAAAATTCAGTATGAGCCTAAGCCCTCACTGTGCACCATGCAAATCCTTCAGTTACTGACAAAATTTCTGCAAAAATGCTCCCAACAAATACTCATGCGCCAAAAAAATCATTCACATTTCGCTATGAATCTATGATCAAATAGGAAAACGCAGAGTCTTTCACATAAACACAATTTACACTTGAAACTGTACTGATAAATTTCAACTATCATAATCACAAATATAACAAATTTCACCAGACAAACCACCTAATCATTCAAATCCAAATCCTCAGCACCATCGTTGAACCTGTTTGGGTTACGCGAATTGGACCCGCCAGATGGCCCAGGAAAGACTTGGGGAATCTGCACGTTGGGGGCCCACTGCCTTAGCAGCCCAATCAAGTGCTGGACTAGGCTGACCAGCTGGTCTCGACTCACGTTCTGCAAGTCCAAACCCCAAGGCAGCAGCACGGGTGCTTGTGGGCCTGCAGTTGGGGCCCTACGTGAGAGGCTGGGGCCCACACCAGTCATGTGGCCTCTTCTCCGGCCAAAAGTCTCCTCCATTATTGCACGCTCGTTTACACGGCCACTGGTACTGGCTGCTGCCTGTTCGGCTCTTTCCCGGAGATG